CCAGGAAGTTGCCCGGCAACGTCGGGAGGCAGCGCAGAAAAATAAGCTTTTACGGGAAGAATACGTCTCCTTCTACCGGCCATGGCGCTTGGCAGTATGGGAAATGGACCAGCAGAAGAAAGAAGAGGAGAAGAAGGCCAACACGCCGGGCTCATCGACTCCTCCTGGTGGAAGCACCCCTGCAACAGAAGGACGGCGGTTCAAGGGGAACAGCGAGCTGGATTTCCAGAATGCGCTGCGGGCGTCAGCTATCTCGGCGCAGGAGGAGTTGGAGCGTCGCAAACGAATGGAAGCCACGGCACGTCCCGATCTCGACCGGGAGGCCGTCATCCCCGACATGCTCGAGCCGCATGAGAAGAAAGCAGGCATCTTCAAGGATACGAACAACATCGTTGATGCTGCTGACGCCTATGAGGTGTTTGGCTTCTACCCGCCGCCCAATGACTTTACTCCGGAAGAACACAAGATTTTTACGGACGCGTTTATGGCACATCCGAAGAAATGGGGCAAGATTGCCGAGGAGCTCCCGGGACGCGACTTCCAGCAGTGCATCATCCACTACTACCTGACCAAGGAGGAGATCAAGTACAAGGCCAAGCTCAACAAACGGTGGACGCGCAAGGGACGTACCAGGCGATCGACCCGGCCCAAGTCCAACGCCCTCATGGCCGACCTGAACGGCATCCGTCCCGACGAAGGCGAAGAGGAAAGCGTCCCCGTGACCGACACCGGCCGTCCCAAACGCGCTGCTGCGCCTACCTTTGGCGATTCTTCGACCGACGCTGACTCGGGACGCCGTGGAAATGGTGCTAATAAGGATAGCGACCAAGCGGAGAAGCCTGCTGGCAGACGGGGCGGCAGGACAGGTACTGGTTCGCGTGGTGGACGCAGAGGAAAAGCGGCCCAGCAACAGCAACAGCAGCAGCAACAACAGCAGCAGCAACAGCAGCAACAGCAACAAGAACAAGAACAACAAGCACAAGCGCAACCACCACAAGTTTCACAGCCAACGACACAGCAGCCTCTCAATGCACAGACGACCGCTGCTTCACCCGTTCCTCTGATGGCCAAACAAGAACCGGGAACCATGGACGGTGCGGTAGAGACTATGGCCCGTATCAAGGAGCAGCCAGAGCGAGATGCGGAAGAGCTGCTGCCCCGATCCAGGTCTTCCAGAACTCGCGGTAAGGAAGGCGTGTACGTGTTCGAGGCGGGCGAGCCTGAACCGGCGACGACTAAGGCAGCGCCCGAGACGGGCTATGGATCGATGCAGCCGACCAGCTATTGGTCTGTGCCTGAAGTGCGGGACTTCCCCGTGCTGCTGGCGCACTTTGGCAGGGATTTCGAGGGCATCTCGAATTTCATGAAAACCAAGACGCCGATCATGGTACGTCATTTCGCATTTTTTTTTGTTTCGTCTGATTCGTTTCCTGCCTGCAGATCTCGGTTACGGCCCGTCCCGACAGTGTGTGACGTGGACCTTGAAAATTCCCCATTTTTAGCCTTGCATTTCCCCGATGTAGCGGTACTTTTTTTCTGCTAACCCACACCCGTACGTGCCAGGTCAAAAATTACTTCCAGCGTAAGATCGACTCGGGCAATACCGAGTTCGAGGAGATTGTCCGGATTGCCGAAGAGAAGAAGATGCGAGGCGAACCCACTGGTCCGCTGCCAGTGCCCAGCGTCACTCAGAAGAGACGCTACGAGGCCACGCCTTCGGCCGTAGCCCCTCGACCGCTGGCGCCCCATACCGATGTCGATCACGCGGATGACGGCCGTAAGGTCAAGACCACCGCGCCCAACGCAATGTCTCCGCCACCCGCGTCGACTGTCCAGATTCGCTCTGCCGCCGAAGCTCCTTCTGATCGGAACATGCCCAGATACCCACCTCTGGCCCAAGCGACTGGCGCGCCTCTCGCCACAGGTACGATGCTGGCCGAAGATCCTTCACGTGCTATTCGGCCGCATGGTATCCCGCCGCCGCCACGGATGTCTCAAGGTCCGCGGATGGGCTATTTCACAGAAGAGCGAAGGGATGTAACGGGCCCGGCCACTCCATCAATTGCTCCTTCTCGTCCCCCGCAGGATGTGCAGCCGTCTCCTCGG